ATATTTGTATCCCCAGCACTTAGCACAATGCCTGGCACATAGTAGGTGTTTATTGACTATTATTATTGACTGCTGACTCTTGCTATTCATTTTCCTATATCCTGTACGGTTTACATTGTACAGATCACATTGTGATAAATGTGGTTGTGGTGAGAGTGCTTTCTTTGTAAACTTTAAGGTGGTGATAAAAACTGCTGGGAAAAATGGAAAACAGTCTGGCAGAAATCAGGCTTAGACTAACATACCACACTCCACAATATAGTCTAACTGAATATAGAACCTTAATATTAAAGATCATACTATAAAAAAATTAGAAGAGAAACAGATCATATGCCTTTCATAGCCATTGGTAGGAGATGTATTCTTAACCAAATGAGAGATAGAAGCAATTACAAGAGGTAAAATAGATAACTTTACTTGAAACTGAAGTGCTTCTGCAGAGACAACATTAATGCAACTAGGATAAGAAAGAAAGTGGTTAAATGGGGAAAAAAATCTTTGTATCAAATTTCTCTGATAAGGGTTTGGTATGCAAGATATATAAACAATTCATATATATGTATGTATGTATGTATATACATATCACTAATAATAAGAGAAATGTAAATCAAAACAACTCTGTGGTATCATCTTATATCCTACAAATTGGCAAAAATGACAAAAAATAGTTAACAATGAACGTTGGAGGGATTGTGGAAAGATAGGCATACTAATACATTGTTGTTGGAGCTGTGAAATGCTACAACCGTTTTGGAAAGCAATTTGGAAATATGTAAATAAAGTGACTAAAATAGAGATGTCATTACAGGGTTTATACCCCAAGAAATCCATTAATAAGAAAAAAGTCCTCATATAATCCAAAATATTTGTAGCAGCATTTTTTTGTGATGGCTAAGAACTGGAAACAAAGTAGATGCTGGTGAATTGGGGAATGGCTAAACAAATTGTGATACATGAATGTAATGGAATGTTACTGTGCTGTAAGAAATTATGTGTGTGATGAATACATAGAAGCATGAAAAGATCTACAGGAACTGATTCAGAGTGAAGTAAACAGAGACGAGAAAAGAATATACACAGTAACAACAATGTAAAGAATGCCACACCAAAAAAAAAAAAAGTAAATATTACGAAGTTATAAATGTCAAACAGGATTTGAATAAAGCCATATGAGAAGACAGTGCCGATCTACCCCTTCATGGAGGTGGGAGGTCCATAGGTGTTACACATTGCAAGTTTTCAGACTTTTTCAATGTATTGATCAGTCACATTGACTTTTTTTCCTCTCCAAAAAAACTACTATTTGTCATATGGGATAACTGGGGGCTAGGGTGGGGGTGGAGAAGGAATACATGTGATATTATGGTGATGTAAGAAATATAAAATATCAACAAAAACTTATGTTTTAGAAAAGATACTATGGAAATGCAAATTATAATTATCTAGAAGAATGTATTTAGGCGATGCTTTAGAATGAAGAACTCTCTGTAGGGAGGCTAATGATGAAGATAAAGATTTGTGAGAATGAAGGATCTGACTGGGCTTTAGACTTTGCTTCTCTTTGTCAGTTTCCTAGGAATTTCAGGTCCTCCTAGGAAATGCCTAGAGCCATATCTTTAACTAGGAATCATTGAACATTAGGCAAGTAGTAAAAACCTCTAGTTAATCTTAGCTCATATACTTTCCTATTTCTTGTTTCTGCTAGTTATTCATGCTAACTAGGTGCTAAACTATTGTTTCTGTGATGCTCGGGGACTGAAAGTGTTGGTAGTATCCTATTAACTTTGTGCGCTTTAAATTTAGCACCTGGGGGCAAAGCCCTAAGCACCCTATCTTAGTTATTTTCCATCTGAAAGACCTTACCAGCTTCAGTGCTTTCTCCTTCCACTACTTTCCAAACCTTAATTGATTAGCACGCCCCTAATCTGAGGCACTTTTTTGATCAGTCGTTTTTCAGTTGTGTTTGATTCTTTGTGACCCCATTTGGGGTTTTCTTAGCAAAGATACAGGACAGGTCTGCCATTTCCTTCTCCAGCTCATTTTACAGATGAGGAAACTGAGGCAAACGGTTAAGTGACTTTGCCCATGGGTCACACAGATATTAAGTGTCTGAGGCCTAATTTGAACTCAGGAAGATGAGCCTTCCTTGACTCCATGCCTGGGTGATCTGTCCACTTCGACACCTAGCTGTCCGTAATCTGAGGCATTAAACTTCCTGAATTCCTTGTTCTATTACTTAAATCAGAGATCTACTATACTTGATGCCTATTTGCCCGTCTTTCTTTCCTTGATAATGTTTCCTTTTTTTTTTCCTTTTTACTCCTGTCTGCTACACACTCCAAGCCACGAGAGTTCATTTTTTACGGTTTATTAGCTGAAGAAAAGAGAATATACATCCTCAGAAATAACACACTAGGAAAAAGTAATTAGAAGTGTATACAAAAGAAAATTAGCTAGTACCAGACCAGGTGATACTTAAGCTTTCTAGCTATTCTTAATCCCTCTCTCCCCCAACCCCTTACCCCCGATCAAAAAAAAAAAAAAAAGATGAAGTTCTTTGCCAGCTTCTTCTATAACTAACTCTTTAGCTTCAGAGTGAGCTTCTTGGTCCATTGGGAAAGTGAAGGATGTTGGATTTAGAGCTAGCAATTAAGATTTCTGGGACTTATTGTCAGCCTCAAGATTGCCACACAAAAGCACCACCTTGGTAAAAAAAAAAGCCTCCCTCCCACAAGCAAAATCCTAACCATCAATAGAAAGAGGGTTGAAGACAAAACAGATGGTGCACCAGGAATACCTTGTACCTTTCTGGTCAGTACACCTTAAAAGGAGACATCTTAGAGCTGGAGAAACTCTAAAGAAACTTGTTCTAGGAATTGGGTTTGGAAGACATTTGCCATATGAAGCTAGCTCCTCAGACTGAAGGAATCCCAGGCTGAGAGGGGATATGGTTGAGACCTGGGGTCTCAACTTGTTCAGCAAGTTTGAAAGAAAGTTTTACTAGTTTACCTTGGGGGGTGGGGTGGGTAGTGAGACAAATGAAATCTAATGCACAGGGTGGTGCTATAAGTCTTGGGGAGACGAGGACTATGTAGGAGTGGCTCACTGGAATAAGAGGATTATCCTGGCAGTACCCCCAAGTTCGGTTCCCTTCCAGGGAAAGCTGAGGAGCCATTTGGGTGCTTCTGTTGTATTTGTTCATAGGGACCTTCACGGCTTACACATTTTCTGTGAGGTGAAATAAAGGTTGTCACATACACAAATTGTACTTTGTATGTCTGTGTGTAAATTACGGATGACATCCACATTTAGGGAGGCCTACACAGAGCTATACCTAAACTTTATTTTTGAAGATGATCTTGAATTACCTCCAGGTGGAGACAGTGAGCCAAAGAAAGAAACCATTTTGGGGATCAGACCCCAAAATTAATCTAAGTATGTGGAGGCCACCCAGTTTGAAGAGCTAGGCTATGGATTACACTTATGGGTTACTGAGATCCAGGATCACAGACACCTTGGGTACTTAGGCTGTATCTTTCAATGGGGTCACAGAGACTTTGGAGAACTTCCCTGGAAGGATAGAAGATCCTTGAGCTAAACAGGAAGTCTGAGGAGAGCTGTTTGTTTTGGGGTTCCCATGGCACTGAGAGATTTTCTTCAAAGTTTGAGGGGACATTACTCAAGGAAGTAGAAGGGTGAGAGCAAGATGCAAATAGATAGGGGTGTGTGGATCAGCAAACCAGTAAAAAGATGTAGCAGAGAAGTGGCTGTCAGGCACTGAGACTATACGGGGGGGGGGGGGGGCAACCTTTGGCCTCGAGGCCCCATGTGGCGCTCTAGGTCCTCAGGTGCCATCCTTTGACTGAATCCAAATTTCACAGAACAAACCCCCTTAATAAAAGGATTTTTTCTGTAACACTTGGATTCAGACGAAAGGCCAAACCTGAGGAACTAGAAGGCAACATGTGGCCTCGAGGCCAAAGGTTGCCCACCCCAGACTCCACCAAACCAGCATTTCCACTCTGGCACCTCATCATTCTCCTGTTTTCCTAGAGCACAGAAATGACTGGCTTTGATCTCTATTGCAGCCTTGTTTTAAGTGTTTATGTTTATTATTTGATACTAGTAATAAATTACATGGCCAGCAACAGTGATTTTTCTAAGCCTATAAATTTGAGGTTTGAGAGAAGGGAAGCTAGGTTATGGGAGAACAGACTTCTGTGGGGTGGGGAGCAAGCCTATTAAAAATAGAATTTGTGCAATTTTGGTAATTAAAAAAAAAAAGACCCAGGGCATACCCAGAAGACTGCTTTTGAACCTGAGGAGAGAGAATTACTAAGGAACAAGCTAGATTGAGCAGTGTGGGGTGGGGAGGTTGGTATATTCCCTCCTAAGAGCAATTGAGAGATAAACTAACGGCCTGTATCACATACCCACAGTCCTCTACATATATAATTAGGGCCCGTGGGTTCTTCAGTAATTAGTTTTTTTCTTCACTTCTTCCACCACAAAAGATCCTGATTGGACAATGACTAAGAGCCACAGACTTCTAGCATAGAGGGAGTACTCAGAAATGTGTTGAATTAATGAAATTAATCCTGGCAGAAAGCCAGGAGATAGAGAATTGGGTTCGATTTCCAGCTCTGCCACCAACTCAGTATGGCCTTGGGTAAATCCCTTCTCCTTTTCTGCAATCTGCTTCTTCCCTTTAAAAAAAAAAAAAGTGGCCAGAATGATCTTTAATTAATCTTCCAGCTCTAATTGTCTAATTCACTAAGGTCCTTTCTAGCTCTCAGTGGTTCCATGCACCCACAAAGTCAGAACTAAACCCTAGGTTCCAGAGGGATAGGGCAAGGGTCCTTCCATTTCCATGGTAGGCCAATGTGTTTCCGGTTTCAGAATAAGGGTGTGTGTTCCAGAAGTAAAAGAATCAGAATTGGCAAAGGTTGGAGGGCCAGGCACCTGACTTTCCTTGCTAAATCACAAACACAGGAAGCCAGTTTGTGAAATGTGAATTTATATAGAGATAGGTGAAGACAGCAGTGAGGGAAAGCCAGGGTACTCAGAAAGTACCCTGAGGCAGAACCTGGATCCTCAATTTTCTTGGACCTGGTCCCATTTCCATAAGCTCTTTCCTTTCTCTGTAAAATGCAAGTGCTTTAAAACCTAGAGAGGGATTCTATTACCCACATATGGGGAAACCTAGACAAGAGGCCCCTAGACTAAGTTGAGTATCCCCTAAAAGTCTATTCCTCTGAATAGACTTGAGCCAACCAGCATAAGGTTGACTCCACTTCTTCTCACCATCCCTTCCCATGAGGGAAAGCACTAATTCACTATACACTCCTTTGCCTCTCCACATTGCCCAAAGGGATAGAGCTTCAGGAACAGTTGGGCTGCTTTTGGGAAGGGACACTCCCCCAGGAAGCCTTGGTTTTTTTTTTGGAAGAGGGAGAACATCTCCCTTGAGATGGTCTCATTATGTGATAGTTGTGGACCTCCTGGGACAGAGCTCTGGGCACTTGGACACGTGGTCCATACTTGAGCCTGTTAACAAGATTTTACTGAACCGTCTCTATCTTCACTTCAGTTAGATGGAATTCTGATCATAACTCCCGATTTGCAAATCAGTTCCTCATAATGAAAAGAATTACTTAAACGTCTACCTCATCTCTGACGCTTTGTCTCTGGCCTTTGTTTCGTCATTCTCAGGTTAGAGACTGGCTCAGTAAAATCCCGTTGACAGGTTCAAGAATGGACCAGACCTCTCTTTGGACTGGGTTCTAGTTAAGGGGCTGGAGTTTAAGGGGAGGGGAGTCTGCTGGCACCGAGCTCTGATGAAAAGGCCAAGTGCGTTGGGGATGCCTTCCATTCTTGAGTCAGGCTCTCGGGTAGGAAAAGGACCTCTCTTTGGACAGGGTCTAGTTCCCAGATGAGGCTTCACCTGGGACTGAGTCTAATCAGAAACCAAGTTTTGTGGAAGAGGAAGGGCCTCCCCAAGCTGTGCGGCCTCTCCTCGTACGGGCTCTTTTAAGGGGGAGAGGCCTTTCTTGGAACGGGGTTCTAAACTTGGCGGCGGGCCCTTCTCGTGGGGGGGGGGGGGCTCATCCGAAGAGCTTGAGGAAGCAGGGCTGGCAGTAGGGCTTGTCCGCGCGCTCCTGGAAGGAGCCCTTGGTGAGCGGGCGCAGGCAGAAGGTGCAGGTGAAGTGATCGGGGTGGAAGCGGCGCCCCAGCGCGGAGACGCAGCGGCCGGTGACCGGGAGCCCGCAGGTGGCGCAGAGGGAGCCGCGCCGAGCGTGGAAGTGGCTCTCGCAGAGCGGGCGCCCCTCGTGCTCAAAGAAGCTGCCTCCCGAGAAGGGCGTGAAGCACTCCTGGAGGAGAGGACGCGAACCAACACAGCAGCGCAGGGTTAGGGGCCAGGCAGGGGAGGGGGCGGGCTGGAGTGCCCGGCTTCACCCCTTCCTCCCCGCGTCGCCCCAGCCCCCCTCACCCTGCACACGAAGCAGTCCGGGTGCCAGAGTGCGCTCAGCGCCGAGATGTAGTTCTCCAGGATAGGACCCTGGCAACCTTGGCAGCGTGGGGCGAACAGCTGCAGAAAGTCCCGGCGGCAATAGGGGCGGCCTTCCCGCTCGTGGAACCCTGCGGGTCCGGGCAAGGTAGGGTGGAATCAGGGGGAAGATCGGAAGAGGGAAGGGAAGTGGGTGCCCTAAAGGTGGAATCAGGGGCAATCTGGGAGGGGAAAGGTGCCTAAAGGGTGAAATCATGACGAAAGGTGGCAGGGGAGAAAGACGAGAGGGAAATGTCTGAGAGGGGATCCTAGGGGTCTGGGGGAACAGACTGCTTGCTGCTGGGTGCCCCGGGCGCCTTTCTCACCCTCTTCCCCGAAGGGCTCCCCGCAGCTGACGCAGCAGAAGTGTTCAGGATGCCAATGGGTGTCCAGGGCGGTGACCATCTTCTGTAATAATAATAACAATGCACATTTCTATGCCGCTTTAAGGTTTGCAAAACACTTTATATATGCCATCTTAAGGTGGCAGGGAGGGGAGGGGAGGGGAGGGCCGGGACTCAGGTGGCTGGAAGTGTAGGGCTCCCTAGAGTTGAAAGATTGCCGGAGTCGGGGGGGGGGGGGGGAAGAAGACCAAGGGAGACTGAGCAAGGACGAGGAGTGTGGAAAGGGTGTGGAAGCGCTTCCACGCTACAGGGCTCACGTGGCGAATGGGCTGATTGCAGAGACCACAGCGCGGGGAGAAGCGCTCGAAGTAGCATTCAGGGCAATAAGGGGCACCGTCCTTTTCAAAGAAGCTGCTACCTCCCAGAGCCATGGAGCATCCCCCGCATAAAAAGTGCTCTGGGTGCCAGGTGCGGCCGAGAGCTGTCACTACCTGCAGGGAAGAAGTGGGTCAAATGGTCACATAGACACATTAGAGCCTAGCTGAGGCTGCTTCTTGTGTCTCTACATTCATTTACCAACTAGGTGTTAAAACCTGGCTTCTTCTAAACGCCACTTGGATGTCTCCCCCCCCCCACACCCTAGCATCTCAAACTTAGTATGCCTCAAATTGAGTTTATTAAAGCAACACAAGATTACAGATAAAATGGATCTTTATTTAGCCCAGCCTGCTCATTTTATAGATAAGGAAAGTTACTTGGAGGTTAATCTTTCTTCCTAAACACATTCCTCTTTCTGGCTTCACACCTTTTGTGCGTGGCAGCTCATTTACTCTGTCTAACATGGTTTCTAGTCTAATGGGTTAGAAACCTTGACTCTTCCCTCTCACCCTCAGCCTTCCTATTTGGTTAGTTACCAATACCTCTCAATACCACCTTTTCTTTGGCAGTTCTCCCCAGCATATTACTAGTTACCCTGCTACAGGACTCCATTACCATCCATCTACTGTTGCATTGGTCCTTCTGGACTTGACAATAACTAATCCTATCCTCCCTCCCTCCATCCTTCACACTACTGTCAAAATCATCTTTCCTGCACAAAGATCGGCCATGTCATTCCCTTATCTCTTTCCCACTCCCCTATGATAATACCCTTTCCCTAGCCCTTTTAAAAAACTTCATATACTTAGGTATAGTTTAATATTAAGGTTATTAATCCCTTCCTAGTCTGTAAGCTCTAGGAAGACAAATATTATATCTTATCTAAACTGATTCTCTTCCAGTGTTTTCTGCATACAGTAATACTCAATGTGTATGAGATCTCCCTCTCTCCAAGGGTCCTGCAGATTACAATTTCATGGTCAATTACAGAAATGTCAAGGAGGAGGAGAACTGAAGGAAGTCCATTGGATTTGGCAAAAAAAAAAATGTGGTCACTTATGGCCTTTGAGAGAAGTGTTTTCAGTGGAGTGGTGGGAACACAGTCAAAATGGAAGGGGCTGAAAGCTGAGTGGGGGATGAGGAAGGCAAGGCAAAGAATTCAGACTGTTTACTTTTTTTTGCAATGTAGGAGAGAAGAGAGAGGAATGACAGCTTAAGGGGAAAAGGTCAAGGAGAGTTTTTTTTTTAATTTTAGGAATGATATGAGAATATACATGGTGTCCCAAAAGTCTTAGTGAAGTTTTAAGTACATAGAGATAGCTATATCTCTCACACACATACATGAAATATATATATATGTATATATCACAAAACTTATTAAGCTATTAAAGCTTAAAACTACATTGAGATGTTTTTGGGATACTGTATGTGTTTGTGTGTGTGTGTGTGTGTGTGTGTGTGTGTGAGAGAGAGAGAGAGATGAATGAGATGGAAGCTACATATCACAAAGCTATATACACACACACATATATAAAATATGTAAAGATTCAAAGATTATTAATGGAGTTAGATCCTGGAATGGAATCAGAATCCCAGATAGAGGGGCCAGCCTTAGTCAGAATAATTGCTTGTCCCTGCCCCATAAGGGCAGAAAGTTAATAACAGTTAATATTTATGTAGCTCTTTAAGGTCTGAAAAGCACTTCACATGTATTATCTCAACAATTCTGTGGGGTACTAGTGTGTCCTCCACTTTACAGATGAGGAAACTGAAGCACTTGCCCAGGCTCCCACAGGTAGGAAGTGTCTGAGGTAAGACTGGAACCCAATCCTTCCTGACTCCCAAGTAAGGCACTGGCTTACATATCCTGCCTCTAAAGACAGGTTTTGAGGTGAGGATGACCTGATCTCAGTGAAACAAGAGGTGAGAGCATCTGCTGAGAGTGTGGAGAGATTGGGGTGTCAAAGGGTGTGTGCATTTAGAAGAGGTGGTCTAGAACAAGTGTTGTGTGGAATGGGAAATTAGTAGATAAATGATACATAAATGATTTGCTAAATAGTAATGAGGCCTCAGCTAAAGTTGCACAACATGTCTATAATTAACAAATTTAACACTTTTTATAACTCTCCCACAGGAATCCACAGCCTAGTTTTTGTGTGTGTGTCCTATTGTCTTATGTATCTATCTTTCCTCCCTCCTCCCCTCTTCTCCTCTGGGGGCCTTACTCACCTGCCCAGCAATGGGTTTATTGCAGGAACCACAAAGGCCCTTGGCCTGGGTGGGGACTCCCTGTCGACTGAGGTCTGACTGCAGCAACCCCAGCATGGTGTCCAGGCTGCCCTCAGCGGTGGACCCTGAGGTGGGTGGTGGTGTGGTATCACTCACTGAGCTCAGTTCTGGTTTTGGGGTAGGCCCAGAAGCAGGAAGCTATTAGAATATAAAATAGAGGCACCTGCCATTTGGCCCCCATCTGCTTCATTGAACTGAAAGAGGTGGGCTTAGAGACAGGGGAAGAAGTTGGGATGACCTCTCACAGTTAGGTGGATACAGGGATCACAGTGGCTGGGACTAACCAGAGCTAATACCCTCCCTGGAGACCCTTGACCCTTTCATTCAGCTCACATGGTTCTGGACACGGAAATCAGAAAGAGAAGCCATCAGCTTGTCCAATTCCAGCGTAGCTGAGGTGGCTGAAGATTTTGGCAATTGCGGTGTTGGGCTAGGGGGACTGTAGGAATATAGGTTGAGTCAACAGCTTCTCCCATTTCTCAGTCCTTCCAGGTCCCAGACCCAAGAAGCCTAGCTCTCAGTCCTCCCTCTTACCAGACCCTCAACCCCAAATAATACAGGCATCTGGATCTGCAGCCTTCATGCTTCCCACTTCTACACCCAACCTGGGGATCCAGCTACCAGGCTGTAGCCCTTCCAACCCTGTCTCCAAGAGCCTCACGTGGTGGGCCTTTTCTTTTCCTCAGATTGCTCTTCCTTTCGTTCCCCATCAGCTGCCTTGCTGGATGGGAACTGTGACATGATTTCATCTGGTTGGAAGGAGGGGTTGTTAGTCTCACTATTACTTGCTTTTTCCTGCCTCTTCCCCTTCTCCTCAATTCTCCCTCTCTCTTACCCGTGATATTGAATTGGGTGGCATTGAGCTCCTGCAGCAGGCGGTCCAGCTCACAAAGGCCAGCACCAAGGACGCCACTGGAGGAGAATGGGGGTGCCGCTGGCTTGGGGGAACGAGGCTTACACACGGTGCTGGAGCAGAGAGGGAGAATTAGAGGGGGGGACCCGGGAATAAAAGACTCAGACCGGAACTCAAGTGGCATGGAGGGCGCAAGCCCTTTGGACTTGGAGAGGGGTAACCTTCAGTCCCACCAGCCTTTAAAGGACATTCCCAGTCCCTTCACCTGTATAGATGGTCTTTGTCTCCTGAGGCCCCAGAGGTTTCCCTAGCCGCCTTCTGCAGAGAGAAGCAATACATCTGAGGCTGGAGAGGAGCTTCCTCCCCAACCCAGGAAACCTAGACCCTTAGCTCTGCTCTTCTTACCTGCTGCTGCTGGCTATAGGGAGGAGGAGGAGTGGTGGCTTCTTGGGGCTGGTCTCTAAGAGCCCCAGCCCGGGGGATGTGGGATGTTGTAGACTCCAGGTCGGACAAAAGAGCATCTGTGAGAAGACTCTGAGTGAATTGTCTAGAGAGTTACTTAGAGGTTAAGGGGCTGAGTTGGTCTAGGTTAGAGGAGGTGAATGTTTGAAAGAGATCTGAAGTCAGAGTTGGGGTCAGAAACCAAAAGTTAGACAATCACAGGGTCAAAGAGGCTCCAGGGAAACCATACAAGGGTAAAGCTGGGAGCAACACAATATGGCCAAGCTTTTTCATCCTTGGCCAATCCCGGGAGTCGTGCCAGGTTGGGTGTTTTACTTCCAGCCATGAAAGCCCTTGTATCTGTATAGCACTTGTGTCATCTAATACTCAAAACAGCTTCTATGAGGTCATAGGATTATAAACTGTAACAGACATTACAGATCATCTAATCTAATCCCTCACTCCAAATTATTACTCACTCCAAACCCACTGGTTTTACATAATAGAAAACTGAGGCCCAGAAAAAGTTAGTGATGATAGCTGAAATTCATAGAGCATCTTAAGATTTATAAAACATTTTCCAGTTGTCTCATTTAGTCTTCATAACAAGCCTGTGATGCAGTTATTACCATCTGATAGAAGGAGGAAACTGAAGCTCAGATGTGGTGATTGGTCAAAGGTCAGGCAGGTAGTAACAGTTGAGATTCTGACTCTGGCTTTGTTGTTTGGTCTTCCCTGACTTTGTGAGCCCATTTGTTTGTCTGTTTTTGGCAAAGATTCTGGAGTGGTTTGCCATTTCCTTTTCTAGCTCATTTTACAGATGAGAACACTAAGGCAAATAGGGTTAAGTGACTTGCCAAGGGTCACCCATCTAGCACATGTCTGAGACCAGATTTGAACTGAGGAAGATATGAGCCTTCCTGATTCCAGGCCCCGTGCTCCATTCACTTCATCACCTAGCTGCTCTTGGAGTCAGACAACTTAGATTCAACCCACCTCTGACACATATTAGCTATGTGACCTCAGTCAAGTCAGTATATATGCCTAAGCCTCAGTTCCCTCATCTATAAAATGAGGGAGATGGATTAGATGGTCTCTGAGAGAGATGCCTTCCAACTTTCAGATCTATTATTCACAAAGAAACAAGTGGAAAGAAGAGAGGCAACCTTGTGTGGTGGATAGATCACCAGACTTGGAGTTGAGAACATGTGAGTTCAAATCCCAACTCAGAAAGTCACTTAACCTCTCTGGGCCTCAGTTTCTTCATCTGTAAAAATGGCTTCCAAGGTCCCTTCTGGCTCTAAACCTATGACACTATGAGGTGAATGGATGTCTAGAACTCTATCTAGTCTTTCAGGTATTATCTGTACACTAAGTCCTGGACTCTTTCCTGGATACTTCTATTGGCTCCTTTGAATTATTGTCAGGTTGCATCTTCTCCAACTCAATTTTACAATGGGCCTTTTCTCCCATTTTAAAATTTAGACTCCTGGCCTCAGTTTCCAATTGATTGATCTATGCCCCAGCTCCTTCTTACAGATATCTTCAGAGGTACCTTTTATCCTTCTTCTCAGCCCTCTCATTAGGTAATCTGCCAGACTCCCATACTCTTCTGATTAGCTGTTTCCCCTAACTAGGACCCCTGGATTGGGATACCTACCAAAGACTACAATACGTGGTTCAAGAAGGGATAAAGGGGAGGTGGAGTCACCTGGTAGGGTAAAGAGAGACAATCACCAGGAGAGAAGTGTACCCCTGGTGGCCTGACTCCCCCTCCTAGTCTCTCTCCCCCACTCCTGCCTTTCTCCTATGATCTGGGTATCTTGCCTTCCAGCTCGAAGCTTTCTTCTGCAGACCCACGCCCACGAATCCTCCCTGCCACCAACCTAAGGCCACCCCCCTGTTCCCCTCTCAGAACCCAGGTATCTGGTCCCCTCTGCTCCATTCCCTGGTCCCTCCAGCCTTTCGACCAGTGGACCTCAGTTCCTCGGGAAAGAAGGGAGAAAGGATTGGAGAAAAATGCAGGAAGGGAGAGGCAGGAAGGGAAACGTGGAGCTGGGCAGAAGGAAGAGAGGGAGAGGAAGAGAAAGAAAAAAGAGGGAGAAAGAGAAGAGGAGGGAGAGAAGCAATGAGAGGCGAGGAGGGGCCGAGGAGAGAGAATAGAGACAGAAATGGAGAAATGAAGAGAGCACTTAAGGCAGAAAAGGCAGAGATGAATAGACGTGGGGAGAGACAGGAGAGGAGGTGCGCTGCAAGGAAGCAGAAAACGAGCTCCAGGGAGAGGGGACGGTGGGATGGGGTTGAGAGAGGCAGATGGAAGCATCTCGGGCTGGAAGGGAGGGGCTCGTGACCCCGGGGCTTCTAGCCCCACTCACCCAGGTCCTCCATGGCTGGGGTGCCGGGCTGGCTGGCTGAGGGGTAGCAGCAGGGCGGGGGCTGTGTCCGGTTGGGGGGGCGGGAGACAGCGGGGGGGGAGGGGGGGACGTCCGGGAGAGGGAGGCCCCGGCCGTGACCATGTAAGGAAGCGGGGACCAGATGGGATGGGGGACGGGATGGGAATTAGCGGGGAAAGAGACTGGAGAAGGGGGCCTGAGGGGAGCCGAAGCGGGTGACAGACAAGAATAGGGATGGCGGGACACACCCTCAGAACAACCACACCCCAGCTAGACACTCTGGAGTTGACGAGATCTTAGGCTTGGAACTGAGAACCAACCACCAACAGCACCAGCGAAACCAAGAGGAGCAGGAGAAAGCCAGAGTGACAGGGGAGTCTAGATTCTCAGAGAGACAAAAGCCCATGGAAACCCTCCCAGGAGTACAGAATTCAGACGCGCAGAAATGGAAATAAAAACTCAGAGGAAGACACAGATCAAGACGGATGGAAATACTCATGCACAAAGAGCTTCTTAAGTAAAGGGATAGAGATGAAGCACCCCAAAGCAGACACTCCTAGACTCCTGGGCCACATACAGAAGACCCAACTCCCTCACTCAAGAGAGGGCTGCAGTCAATGCTTGCATTTTCTTGAATTGTGCAAAGCCATTAAAAAAATACAAAATGAAAAAAAAATACTTGGTCATTGGTTGAGCAATTTTTTTCCCCTTTACCCCCATTTCGCATGCCCACCCCCTCTATAAAGAGAAAAAATTGGGCCTGGGGACTCCTAGAGTAGACACTTGGGTGAATCCCCTGGGTTGTTCATAGAGATCTGCTCTGGGGGTGTGGGAAAGGTTAACTACAACCTTATATCTAGCAATATACACAGTGACCCCACACATCAGCCCAGATTTATGATCTTACCCATCCCTGGGTACATGACTTAAGGTTTAGGCCTACTCAGCTGAAATATGGATGGAAATGGGAATTGGTCACTGGGGTGCAGGGAAGGGAAGATTTGAGAAAAGATCCTTTTGGGGCAAAAAAGAAACACACACTACATGAGGTAATCAACTCTGGAGCCTTTAATTTCAGTCTGGCCTCTGTATGAGGCTCCTTTTTGGGTGTTGAGGGCCTTCTTCGCCTCTAGTCCTTTTAGGTCTGTACTCTCCATATTTCATTCTTGAGACCTCTGGCCAAGTCCCATTTTGCTTCCCCAAGCCATTCTCATTTCTTGTTCTCTATCCTACCTCCTCTTCTAGTTTCTTGTACTTTCCACGGCTCCTCTTCCCCGGAATCTGCCCTCTCCCCCCACCCCCCAACACTTCCCCGGCAACAGTTCTCCTTTTCCAGAGAAGCCTCCTTTTCTAGTCCCTGGGGCCAGGTGAAGGTCCTACAGGCCATCTCCTCTGTCCTGGTGCCAGGGCCCCTCAGAGTCCTGGGGCTGTGGCCCTAGTCACAGCCTCCCTTTCATCCCCATCACAGCCCCCAAAAGGGCCTCGGTCAGGGGCCCACCCTCCTCGCCGACTGCCTCTACCAGTCCAGCTAGGGCTGTTGCCCGGGCTTGTGGGCTCCGGCCAGGTCCCAGGGTCCAGTGGGCACATCTTGCAGCTAGACGGGTTCCACCAAGACGGAATACCTCGCCTACTGCCTCAGGGGGACCACAAGGCCCAAGGTGCACACTTCCCACAGCCTCTTCCAGTTCTTCCTCTAGACCGGGCAGCAGAAATCGGCCAGCTGCCTCTAAGGCAGCTTCTGCCTCAGAGCCCAAGAGGGGTTGGCCTGGAGGCGGAATGGGTTGTAAGGAAGCCCCACAGCCTCGGCAGCCATGGAGATGGTGCAGAATAGGCCAAGCAGCCCCCGGGGATAAGCCCCTCAGTGGCACCAGGCTCAAGTGAGCCTCAGCAAAGCCTCCTGATAGCATGGCTCTGAAGAAGGGGGAAGCATCAGCTGCAGAGGCCCGAATGGCAGGTAGGCGGAGGCCTGAGTCCAGCAGGAAGTGGAGGTCAGGGACTAGGGATGGAGTAGGGCCCAGCAATTGCCCATAGAGGCAAGGGGAGGTTGGAGAAGAATCCACAGGAGGCTGGGCAGAATCCACTGATGGGGAGATTAGACTTCGAAGGCAGGAGAGGGAATCAGCAGCAAAAAAGAGGAAAAGTGGGTGAGGGGCTGGACGAGAAAGTGCTGTCAGAAGGAGCCGGAGACCACCTTGGTCCAGAAGCAGACGCCTCCAGAGAGCTGGTTTCCTGAAAGACAGAGGGATGGGCACAAGAGTCAGTGAGGGCACTTGATACAAATACAGAATTCTTACCTCATAAGAGAAAGTAGTACAAGTCTCTGCCAGAAACACAGTGGGCCACAAGCTCTGGGTACCCATGAAATAGGCTTATGATCTTGCCCATTCCTGGGAACTTACTATGGATCTCTTTAGGACAGAGAGGCAGAAAGCACAGAGCTAAGGGAAGGGAGGAATAAGGCAGTAGGGAAGACAAGAGGCAGAGTCAAGGAGAAGAGAATAATAGGGACGCTACGGAGTTTGGGGATTCGCTGTAGAGTCAAAGGGAGGGAGCAAAGTCTTTTCCTAATATCTATGTCTTTTAAAATTTCTGTTCTCTGCCCTCCTATCCTATCCTACAACCTTAGGAGCATTCCCTCCTGTAAGAGTTGTTCCCTGGTTCCTAAAATGACATACCTGCAGATAAAGGGCAGAGTAAGTGCACAGGCAACTCGGTCTTCTGGGGTCCCAGAGAGAAGCAAGTGAGTGAGTGCTCCCACCCCAAAGGGAGACTCAGCCTGGACTGTCAGATTCTGGAGCAGCATTTCACCTGGGAGGAGAAGAAGGGTCAGGTCAGAATACTGGATCGCTGAAGGCAAAAGAACTGATGAGGTGGGAAGACTGGCAAAGAAGGTTTAAGATGCCTGTGTTCTTGATGCATAAAATGACAGGCAGGGAGGTCACATGGGTTCAAGGAAATTAAATATGGGCAGCACAGAGATCTGGGTAATAGGAAAAAAAGAACTTCTGGGTTCTAAAGAGAGAATAAGGGGCAGGAAAACCGTATGTTTGTGTACCTGAAAGAAGAAATGGGTCACTCACCTAGCTCTCTATGTTTCCGATCACCTGCTCGCGCTCGGGGTGGCTTTGAGGCCCGCCAATCGTCTGGGGCAACGCCCAACACCAGCCAGGCCCGGATGAGTGCTGCGCCATAGCTTCGGACAAAGGCTTCTAGGCAAGCAGGGTTGCAGGTGAGGCGGGCCAGAATTCGCAGGGCTCGGGGATTTGGGGGACCAGGGGCCCCAGTCACATAGCCTAGCAGGCCTTGTAATGCTGGGCCAGTCACTAGTGCCCCGCTGGGATCTGGGGCCTGTGAGAAGCGTGACAAGAGTAATAGTGCTGGCCCTTCCCGTCCCCACAATTCTTCAGTGCGACCAGATGTCCTCAGTGGGGTTGGTGAAGTTGGGATGTCGCCTGAGTGGCTGGGAGTCTCTAGTTGTGAGGTGCTTGGGGTCTCCATGCCTAGGGTGGCAGAGTTTGGAGCAGAGGGTGGTGGGGAATGGGACACTGAGGAGAAGGAAAGACTGTCCTGTAAGCATCGCCGCCGGAGGGATCTGACTGGGATAGCAGGAAGCTCGGGCAGAGGGCAGCGTTCAGGGGACCAATCAGGGGAGATGTCTCCAGGCGCCACAGCATAGCCTTCTGATATCAGCCATGACCTGGAGATTAAAGAGAAAGACAGTAAGTGGTTCTATCAGACCTAATGGAAATCATGTTTAAAAATGCTTATCACAGTTCGTGGGTATATAATAGGCACTTAGTTTAACCATTAACTAACAATAGCCAGTACTTACGTACTACATTAAAACATCAACCCTGGTAAACAGGTGCCATTATTTAGCAGTTGAGGAAACTGAGGCAGACAAAGGTTAAATAGCTTGCCCAAGGTCATACAGCTAGTGTCTGAGGCTGGATTTGAACTCAGGACTTCCTGACTTCAGGTCCAGTGCTTTATCTACTATGCCATTATATTAGGGAATATAAGAATTGGAAAAGAGAGGTAGAGTTAGGAAAGATGTGATCAGGAATTGCAGATCTGGAAAGACAGCTCAAGATGCTGGTTTACCTGAGACTCCTGAAGCTCCCAGCCTCTGTTGGAACTGGAGTCGGCTCCTCAGGGAAGTCACAGGAAGCAGCCTCGTGACCTTCTTCCTCCTCTTCTCCAACTTCACCACTTAGCTGCCCTGCCAGCAATGGCACAAGCCCTAGTGCCTGCAGTCTTCCTAGGGCCCCAGTGTCATACAGGAAGCCAACAAGTGCTGCTACTACACGAGGATGAAAGGCCTCTGCCCGTGGGTCTCTCAGAAGGGACATGAGCAGCTCCAGACCCCCAGCATCCCTTAATCGTGCTCGGTTAATGGCCTCACGGCACAGAAGACAGACAGCCCGTACCAGAGCCTGCTGGGACACTGGGCCTGCCCCACCGGGCCCCCGTCTCCTCCGGAGTTCGCTGAGGAGTACTTCCACACCACCAGCATTGCCCAAAGCAGGACGCACTAGGCCCTGGGCACACAGGTTGGCCAGAGTCAGGATGGCTGCATCACGTACTGTCCGCTTGGGGTGAGTGGCCAGGCTCACTAGAGGTCCCAGTCCACCACCCAGGCTCAGCTGTTCAGCACAGGCCCGTGAGCAACCTCGGCTTAGCTCCAACAGGGCCCGAGCCAGGGCTGAAGTCAGGGCAGGGTCAGAGGTTGTAGCCAGCAGCTCTGCCAGGGGCCGAACAGCCCCCTGTTGGGCTAGGGCCAGGCGGTGCTGAGGTGAATCAGCCAAATTTCGGAGGGCACGGACGACACTCTGGAGACATTGGGAATCCTGAGAGGCAGTGAGGATCTCAACCAACAGAGGCACAGCACCTGGACAGGGTAATGGAGAAGGGAAGGGTGAAGAAACATGTGTTTGAATCTTCCAATTCTGGACTCCTGACTTCTTTTTTTGTCAAAATCTAGGCACTCCCTCCCTGCCATTCCCAGACCTCTTTCCCCTCATCAAGCTCTTACCAGCTCTGTGGATGTCTCCACAGCTCTCAGCTTCCATAGCCAGGTTTCCTAAGGCTCGGGCTGTTCGGTTCTGTATGCTGTCAGTCCTCACACACTGTAGAATGCTTACTAAGAGCGAAAATGGAAGACAAGACACACTTCATTTCTTAATACACTATAAGAGCACAGACTAAATCTTATCTAAACTTTGTATTCTCACCTCCCAGCTTAGACCTAGTATAGTATTGTGCATAAAACATGCACTTATGTTTAACCAAATTTCTTCGATTTGGGGATGAAAATTTTTTGTACTTTGGAGTCCCAATTTTACCAGTGACTTGCTGTGTGACTTTTGCTAAGTTCCTTGGCCCTTCTGAGTACTGATTTTTCTATTTGTCAAGTAGGTATAATACGCACTACTCTTACAACCTCAACCCTTACAACCATCCCCCCAAGACACCTGGCTGGGACAGAAGAGTGAACTCTTATGAAAAGAGCTTTTTCTCCGCAGGCCAAGGAAGGTGAGCAACAGACCACTCTTAGCCTCCTTTCATGAGCTGTTATGTTTGAGCCTGTGTTCCAGAATGCTGGGGGATGTATCAAAGTCCTCTGAATGCCTTCTATGTTTTCTGCATGTTTTTATGGGTTCTTATAAATCATTTGCATCTTCTGCATTTTTATGGTAGGGTGAAATAAAGACTGTCCCATACCTGACACCCATATCACCCTGAGGACTTGTATGGCAGTTGGGGTTTCCTTTTATCTACATTTTAGAAACAACTTAAACCTATTCTATCTGGAAAGTGTTCCTCAAGAAAATATCAAATGGGTACAAGATAAAGAACTAGAGAGCTAATGATCATTTTGGGTCAACTCCCAGAAACAGATTAAGGTCTGGGTAATTTGGGGGACACCTCCACGACCACGGCGGTTTTCATTAACTAGTAACATTTCAGCAATCTAAAGACATCATTTTGGTCTAAATTGTCAACACAAGGCCAAGTGAGCCCCCCACCCCAAACCTTTCAAGTAACTGTCTTCTATTTTATTCCATCCATGGGGACTGAAAACAGGACCATCGTGGGATATGGCTGGCTGAGTATGTAAAGTATGACATCACAGTGGGAGAGCAACCTGCGATATTAAGGGGGCTGTTGCATCACACAAGATGTGGTGATATCACAGAAGGCCCTGTGACGTCACAAGCCCTGGCCTCTTCCATGAAGGCGGGGTCATTCCCACACAGCGACATCCCCCACATGTCCTGGGCCTCTGAGGTCCTGTCGCTTTAAATCCGTCGTCAGAGGGGAAACAGCCAAGAGGCAAACCCGAATCAGAGTGAAGGGCGGAGGACGAAGAACATCTGGACACTCACCAAGTGGGAGAATACCGCCGAGTCTGCGCACTTCGGTCCGGCACGCCCCCTCGGTGCAGCAGTTGGCGAGGACGCTGAGGGCCAAATCGAGCGTTCTACGTAATCGCGCTGGCGCTGACGTAGCAGCTGGGGGGGCGGGACCCGAGGAAGGGGTGGAACCGGCAGCGCCCGTCGACGTGGCCGGTGAGGGGGCGGGGCCGGGGCCTGCAGGGGGCGGGGCGGGTCCCGCCGCCACTGCTGCCGTGCGCCGCAGCAGAGCGAGCAGGGGGCGGAGCCCACCGCGCGCCCGGAAACGCTCAATATCCCCCGCCGCCTTGACGTGGCGCGTGCGGAGGGCTAAGAGCGCGCGGCTCAAGGGGGCTTCGTTGGCTGCCGAGTCCTTTCCCCCACCCGGCCCCTCCACGGCCGCTGCTGTAAGCTGCGCGAGGCAGAACGAGAGCGAGTCGGTGGGGGTCGGTTTCGCCGCCGCCATCTTTGCCTGGGCCTGAGGCCCCACCCCCCTTTTTCTCCGCAGAGAACAGGACTGGAAGGATGGGGCGTGACTATGCACGTCTTCTGGAGAACGCCTTTTAAATGGCCCCGTCGCTGTGATGCACACTGGGAAGTGTAGTTCACACTTCCCCGGTTCCACTTCCTGCGAATTCCCGATCACGTGGGTGGTGAGCTATGACCAACGGCCGTTCGAAACACACAAGGCATGACGGGAGTGGTAGTTCTTTGTCGATTCTCTGTACTGGAGACTGGGGCGCGGTGGACGCTGGGATACGTAGTCCGTGATTATCGTGTACAACCTATCGTGGGACGAGCGAAGAACTCCCGCTCCCAGGGGACAGCGCGCGGCCCCTTCCCCTCGAGAACCCAGGCGTCCGACCATGGAGTCTTTGGACTACGCGGTTCCCGGTGCCCTGGACGTCGCGCTTCCCGGCGCGGCCCCGGCCCTCTGGCATTCTCGGACGCCGCTGCGCCTTCTGGGGCCGGCTGTCCCTCAGACACGCCCTTATGGGCTCCAGGGTGGCAGCGCCGGCCCCAAGGGTCCCACTCTCAGGGCTCACGGCGTCAGGGGCCCTAGAGCTTGTCCAGGTCTGTCGGGGCCGACAGGCCTGGAAAGCCTCTACCTTTTTTTCCCCGACGCGGTGAGTTAAAGGGTTAAGCCCACAGAGGATCGCCAGGGTCTGGGTCCTAGAGAGGCCAGGCTGGGGGGGTTTCCGGTTCCGGTGCTCGGACACCTGGAACTTTAGTGGCCCACCCCGGCTCTGGTGTGTGCATGGGGAGAGCTCCAGCCCCGTGGTTCCCTGGTCCCTCCTGCCCACCGGCTTTCCTTTAAGAAAGAACGGCCCCTTTCCTCCCTTCCTCTTCTTTCTCCCCTCTTTTCTCCAGGATGGAGGGAGGGTTGGAACCCGGGAACCCAGGGCTCCAAGCACACGAAGAAGAGGGTCTGAGAAGTGACGAGTCCGGGGATGGAGGAGAGGAACAAGTAGGGGCCGGAGAGTTGGGACGCCCGAGCCCTAGGAGGGGCCTGGAATGCCCTTTTCTCCCTTTGGGGCACAGAAATAGGGAAGACGCCACTTTTCATCCAGCAGTTCTGGAGGACGAGAGAGCTCCAGGCCTGGCTTCTGGAGACCTGCTCCCCAGCCCTGTTTTCAAGCTCCCCTCAGGACCCCCGCCTGAAAGGCCCTTTCTTGTCTGGCCAGGCCAGCCGGCTGCCCGCGAAATGATGCTAGGGCTCCAGAGGCTGTGTGGAGCAGGCCAGGGTGAGGGGGAGGAGAAACTTGCTGGAATAGGTCTCAGGACAGCCCTCCCAGGGTCCAGGCCTTTTGGTTGCTTCCAGTGCGGACTGACTGTAGCTTGTCTCCCCGATCTGATTCACCACCAGGGTACTCACCCAGGGGAGAAGCCATACAGGTGTCCTGAGTGTGGGAAAGAGTTTCGAAGAGGCTCAGACCTAGTAAAGCACCACCGAGTGCACACTGGGGAAAAACCTTACCCCTGTCCAGACTGTGGCCGTTGCTTCAGCCTTAGCTCCAACCTGATCCAGCACCGAAGATCACACACAGGCCACCGGCCGCACAAATGTCCCGACTGTGGTGAGGGCTTTGGCCGGAGCTCAGACTTAGTGAAGCACCAAAGGGTCCATACAGGTGAGAAACCATACACTTGCTCTGAGTGTGGCAAGAACTTCAGTGTCAGCTCCAACCTCATCCAGCATCAGAGAACTCACACAGGAGAGAAGCCATATAAGTGTGCAGACTGTGGAAAGAGCTTCAGCCTGAGCTCTAACCTGCTGCAGCATAGGAGATCACATACTGGGGAGAAGCCCTATAAATGTGGTTGGTGTGGGGACAGCTTTGGCCGAAGCTCCTATCTGCTCAAACACCAGCGTTCTCACACAGGTGAGAAGCCCTATAATTGCTGTGAATGTGGCAAGAGCTTCACTAACAGCTCTGACTGTCTACGCCATCAGCGGACCCACAATGGTGAGAAGCCCTTCAAGTGTCCTGATTGTGGTAGAGGCTTCAATGAGCGTTCACAGTTCACAGACCACCAGCGAATTCACACAGGAGAGCGACCTTATTCCTGTGCAGACTGTGGCAAGAGCTTCTACCACAGCTCTAAACTTATCAAGCACCAGCGTTCTCACACAGGAGAAAAGCCCTATAAGTGTCCTGAATGTGGCAAGAGCTTTGTGGATAGTTCAAACCTCCTCCGACACCGACGGACCCACATTGGGGAGAAGCCATATACTTGTAGTGTCTGTGGAAAGGGGTTCAGTCAGAGTTCCCACCTGCTTATCCACCAGGCAGCCCATAGTGGTGAAAAGCCTTATGTTTGTCTTGAGTGTGGGAAGGCTTTTGCCCGAAGTTCTAACCTGGTCCAGCACCAGAGAACCCATCAGGGTGGGCGTCCCTATAAATATCCTACTTTTGGTCAGAACTTTGGCCTTGGCCCTGAATTTCTTCAGGACCTTGGGAGTTCTTCAGGAGCTGGCTTCCTCTGATCCCTAGCTAGTAAAATTGACAGAGCCCAGGTCAGATATACTCTGGGATGTGAGCTTTGGTCTTTTTGGGGGTATCCTTTGTGTCCTGGAACGTACTTCCTCTTTGGGGACAGGAACATAGATTCTTTCTTGTTATCCTGCTGGACCTTTCAGTTAATTGATGAATAGGCTTTAAGGGCTAAGGCAGACAGGGCTAGAAAAAAAAAGACTTTGAGAGAACAGCATAGTTATCTTACAAAATTTTAAAGACTGTAATGTAGAAAAGGGTACAGACTCATTTGGTGTAACTCCTAGTGGCAGAACTAGGGCCAATGAGTAGTTTAATTAAAGCTATCTGTTTTTAAAATGGGACTGAGGTAGTTAGAACTTTAATTTCCTGTTACTTGCCTTCTCCACGCAGACACTGGATGATTTATCTATCTGAAGTATCATAGAGTAGATTCAATACTAGGAGAGGTTGGAATAGATTACCTATAAGGTCTTTTCCACCTCTATGTTCTATGATTTTGTAGTTCTAAGGCCGTGTTGGGGTTGATAGGACACATTTAGACCTAAGCTGTCAGGAGGCTTCACTGATACTATGGGAAGAGCTATATGCCATAGAAGGAAACAGGATGGTATGTAGGCCCAACTACAGAGGGCAAAGAATGGGTGACATAGTTCTCATGAGATCAGCTTCTGGAGCTCTGGAGGCTTAGGGAGATATCCTGGAAGCTAAGGGAAGATGGGTAACTTTGGGTTCCCAGCTAGTGTCCTTTAGCCAAACTACATGACATTTGTTTTCGCTACTAGTGTCTTTCCAGGGTTCTTATGTTGCTCCCCAGTCACAAGAGGAAGACATTGTATATGCTTCGTCACACTAAGATGTTGGACATTTTGTGTTTTATCTTTAAGGAGTAGGTGTACAGCCTGGGGAAGGTAGTGTTTAATTCAAAGGAATTTATTGGTAATGATGGAATTTAATCTTGCAGTGAGAGAGAGAGATTGGGGGCTTGGTGGAGAACCGTTTTCAGAGTTTCCCAAGGAACAGTGCTTTCAACTGTAGGTCCAGCCTCTTCCTATTTCTTGATACCCCCAACCCCTATGCAGGTGCCCTGTGTCTTTGGGAAAGGCAAGGGCTGGTTGCACTGAGGCTGATTATTTCTTTCCATAGGCCTACATAGAAGCTTTGTGCCTGGCAGACCTAGAGTGGATAGGATCGATCTTTTGCTATAGAACATAGCTCAGAGCTGTTGCCCTAGCATAAAGAGAAGAGGCCTCAGGATTCCTGGATGTTGGGAGGGCTGAGGGGCCTTTGGAGGTGTTTGAATGTTCTCAGAGAAAGTATAAACATTGGTTCCAGGCCTCAGCCCCCAATAAAGATGGTATCTGTGATTGATTATTCTTGTTTCAAACTCTCTCATCCTGTTCTTTTTTTTCTCCAGAGGATTCTCCCTGTACTTCAACAAAATGGGTTAGTAAGGCAGAATATCAAGACTCAGAGAATCATTTTTGTCAACTGTTCTTTCCCTGGCCTCAGTGGGTGTATCCCTGTAAGACAGGAAAAGAGTATTTAGGGTGACTGCTATCCCCCTGCTCCCCAATCTCTTTAAGAGAGAGCCTTCTACCCCAGAACTGTTTCATTTACATTATTTGACTTACCCATTCAGGAGCTCAGTGGGAAGGAGTAATGTCTCCACTGTATAGTTGGGGAACCTAGAGCTGTTTGCTCAGTCAGTGTTTGAACAGGTTGTCATATTCCTTAATTGAAGCGGGTATAGTTCTGGAAAAAAGACTAGATTGAGAGTCTGATCTGAATTCCAGTCGGCCTCTGACTTTAAGGAAGTCATAATCTCTCTGATCCTCAGTTTCCTTATCTGTTAAATGGGGACAATCTATACCTCTCCTCCTCAGGTATCATCAAATGAGATTCTCAGAGGACCTACCTAGGATATTAATATACATTAATTGAAAAACAAAGTGGTATACACTTTAATCTTGTTTGTGTAATACTTACGCTATTCATAAGGATTTCACAATGTATTTTCTCAGGGCAGACATTTTCCTTTCTATTTTGTAGAACTATGGGTACTGCCTAGAGTGGTTGGGAAGATCATATTTTTGAGGAAAGGAAAAGCATTTGGGACCAGAATTATTTAACTTGCAAAATAAGAAGTTTGTAACCAGGACTACTTTACTGTCTTTTAAGTAGATAATTAAACTCTTTGTTTTTAGAGAAGAGAAGCCATTTAATTTGTATAGTAAGGTTTTAGGTCCAATAGGTAAACTCTTAACAGAATTAGTAAATTTTGGGAAGCAAGGGATTAGAGTGAGGTGGAATATCTTCTTCAGTATTTTGTAGAATAAGGGTCTTTACCTACATATCTTCATGGGAGGAGAGGAGTATGAAATTGGGGAATCTGAAATTCTGTATGATTAGGCCCCTATAAAGAAAGGGTTGGGATTCATGAGAATATAATCACCACACAAGACAATGTGTAGAGTCCCTCTAGCCTAGAATTCTGTATGGGAAGGGATGGGCAAGTGGTTATTCTCATTGATAACCTCAGAAATAGAGTTAAACCTCAAATCACCTATTAAAGACCTATTACATAATAACTAAACTGTAAACCTATCTTTAACTTGTATTTTTATTATTTATTGCCCCATGAAATAAGCTTCCATAAAGTTCCTACCTGTTATGTAGAGCAGAATTTCCTTTAATTGTTTTATAATGACCTTTAAGCATCAAGGTAGTTTTAAACTTGTATTTAGCACACATATCACTTCAGCTTTTATTGATTCTGCATTTATAGAATTTTGCATCCAATAAGTAAACATTTATTAAATGCCTCTTATGTGTCAGGCATATTGAGATTCCCATTTATTTGTCTTTTTAATCTTTAAAAATTTGGTCTCATAACAGCTTTCCTGCCACCAGACCTCATCCCTGGATTTCTTCATCTGGAGATTTTCAAGTTCTAAGATGCCTTCCCATGACATATGCAGACGAGAAGGGGATAAACTACTCCAGATGCAGGTGTCTCATTTCACAAAAGGACAGGGGGAATCATTCCTGTTTTGTATCCCATTCCCCCATCTAGTCATCTGAAGTGGTGATGTCTACAATAACAACAAAGTTCTGATTTTATACTTGGGAATTTATTCTAAAATACATTGACCTACCTGTCACTTTTTCAGCTTTCTGGTTTTTCTGTAAATTCTTTCTGTTAACTTAGATTTTACTGGCTGGAAGATCTTTGGCATTATGGGATTTAGAGCTAAATGGGATCTTAATAGATTATCTCATCCAAGACCTTCATTTTATAAATGAGGAAACTGAGGGCTAAAGAAGTTGTATTTTGCCACCCGCAAGCAGTGTGTGTGTTTCTGGTCATATAAACAGTAAGTACCAGAGCCAAGATTCAAACATGGATCTTCTGACTCCAAGTCTAGAGCTTTTTGCCCTAAGCTAGTGTTTAGTTTGCAGACCTGAGGGCCTTAACTGTTTACTTCCTCTTCTGGTTTATTAAGGGAAAAAAGTTACGTAAGACAAGTCTTAATGCCAGTACTAGAGAACACCACTGTTCTGGAATTCTTCCAGAGAAGTGTTCACTTATCTTTATCCTTTGTTTAAGCTCTGCAAAAGGTTATCAAGTCCCATGGGGACTTGTTTTGATAATTTTCTTTTGAAAATTAATAAAAGACTTTTTGAAAAATAAAATTGATGGTTAGTGCTTTGCACATTTATTTACCTTTTCAAAGAACTCTGGCACATTAACCAAGTATGTAAAAAGTAAATATGCATTACTCTCTCTTGTTTCTCCTTTGTCTACATTCCCAGTGTTATCACCCTCACGCTCCCAGAAAGCTATCCCTTGGAATAAAAAGAAAGAAAAAAAACTTTAGCAAAATTAGTATTTAACAAAGTCTGACATTTATAGTGTTCCCTCCCCATGATCCCTCTTCTTTGCAAAGGAGGTAGAGAGGTTCCTTCTCATATCTCTGGAGCTGAGCTTGGTCAGAAGTTTCTGTTGTTGTGTTGTTTTTGCGTTTACATTGTTGCTGTATATTATTTTCCTGATTCTGTATTTGCTTTACTTTGCATCAGTTCATATGAGTTTTCCTGTGCTTCTCTATTTTCATCATATTTATTGTTTCTTATAGTACAATAATATTACATTATTAACCAAGTACTTTGGATCATGTCTTATTAATCCTCAGGTCTCCTGCCCTGATAGGCAGATATTGTTTATGTTAAATTGGTGCTATGGAAAGAGCACCTGACCTTAGTTTTGGTGGAATAGAAATTTGGACCCTGGTCCTCTTGACTCCAAATCCAATTTTTTTTTTTCCCATTGAGAAATTAAAACAGTATGCTGCAATCAATTAAGAGTAAAACAATAATCCTCTACACTTCCAAATTTGGGTCAGTCTTGAACCACTTTCTATTCTGTAATTTTAGAGAGTAAGATGAATAATGTTAGGACATCTATAGATTAGTAATGCACATTTCACTGTCCAGTTAATTCTATGTGCAAACTAACTTCACGTTTAACCAAGAACTGGTGGATGTAGAAACAATAGAGGAGATGGGAAGAAGGGATACTGTGGATGTCATCTGCAAACTACTCTTAACATAACCCCCCCACCTCCCCAATCTTGGTGTAAGTGCTCATTCATGTGGGATTTTCTATGCCTTAGCATTACGTTTGTAAAGTTTCACAGTTTCAGGGCACGAGATGATTTCTTGGAGTTCATGCCTTTGCAGGTTCCCCAGTTCAGTTCCTTAAATATAAGCTGAGGGCCTGCTGCAAATATCTAGCTCTTTCCTAGGTGTTGTGTGGAGCCAGGGGAGTATGTGGACAGGATTCTTCACCCCAAGGCCAGGTGACTCAGTCCATTCAACAAATGCTTTGCTCTCTAGGAGAGACTGGAATATGAGGGGTTTATATTTCTGTCACACCATACTCCCAGGAGGAGAAGATCTAGGCAGTCATAGGATGGAAAAGAGACTTTTAGTAGAAGAAAGACTTGGAATTTAGCAGTAAAGCTTCAGGTGGTGCAGGCCACAGTCTACTAAAGAGATCAGGTCCTGAAGTATATGGTCATACTGGTTCAGAAGCACTCTCGTCCATCTCCTCACATCTCAACTCAAAATACTTGTGTGTGTCATTCCCATTATCCTTCCCATCCAAGATAACCCCTACCTCCGCTCCTCCTCCCTTGCTGTTTGCTTATATTCCTAACAGGCCATCTGTCACTACAGAGCCTTTGAATCTGTTCTCTGCTCTTTCCCTTGAAAGTTTCACGCTCCCATCCCCCCAGTTCTGCATGTTCATCATTCCCCATTCCCTTGTCTGAAGAGGAACAAGTTTGTAGGAGAGGATGTGTACTGGGAGATGAGCCTCCTGCCCCTTAGCCCACTGGCTTTTTTTCCCTTTGCTAGGACTAATGTGACTAACCCTTTTTTCCAGTTTTTAGCCTGTGAGACGTCTTGTCTCTGCAACCCAAGCCTCCCAGTGTCCAGTCCTGCCAGTTTCCCTACAGAGGGGCCCCTCTGATGATACTTTTTCTAGATGCACCAGTGATGTCCTAGTCTAAGTGGCTGGTGATTTTGACAAAGGTTGGATCTGAGACTGGGAGGAACAGTTCAAGGCAAAAAAGGCTGTGGAAGAGGCTGGGAGCTAGAGGTGTGAAGTCAGTTTTAATAAATACTAAGTACCTACTCTGTACCGACTACTTTGACAGTGTACAAAGCCTGGGATACAGAAAAGGAGTAAAAAGCAGTCCTTGCACTCAAGGAGCTTACAATTTAGTGAGGGAGTGACAAACAAATATGTAAAAACAGGCTGTATACAGAACAAATAAGGGAAGGCCTTATAATTCAGAGAGGTTGGGAAAGACTTCCTGTTGGAGGTGGGATTTTAGTTGAGTTTGAAAGGAAGCCAGGGAGGGCAGTAGGTGGAAATGAAGGAGAGAAATCCAGGAATGGAAAGTTTGGGGGACAACCAGGGAGAACTCTCAGAGCCAAGAGACGGAGTATCTTGTTTGTAGAATAATAAGGAAATCAGTCACTGGATCAAAGAGAACTTGGCGAAGAATAAGATGTAAGAAGGTTGGAAAGGTGAGAAGGGACTAGGTTATAAAAGGTTTTGTATGTTAAACAGGATTTTATATTTGGCTTGGAGGCAATAGGGAGCCCCTGGAGTTTATTGAATAGGGGTATGTGTTATGTAATCAGACATGTGCTTCAGGAAAATAACTTCTGGTGACTGAATGGAGCCTTTTCTTTTTTGTTGCTTTGATTTGATACTTTTATTATTACAGAGTTATTGTATATGCAACAGAATTATATTGGGAATATTTAAAGTTATTCAAAGACCTCTCACTTGTGAACCTTATTTTTTCAAGGAGCAAGTCATTAGGGAGATATTATAATTACTGACGTGTGAATATACCAAGGTTTGATTAAATAACTTCTGTGGCTAGACTTGAGAATTGAAATTTCCTCTCCAAAAGTAAAAACATTTTAAGTACCTTGTATAGCATGCTTACTTGTGCTTAAATGTAAAGCCCATGTTACTTCACTCCATTCCCTTTTAAAAGATGCCAAAATTTGAAGCCCATTAAAAAAATTAAGTTCATCACTATTTACACATCCATTAAATGACACATAAATAATGTATATTCAATATACACTCAATATACAGAGAATCTCCTGGTAGTACCAATAAAATGTTATGCACCTAGTATTTTCAAGTTTTTTGTTTCTAAAACAGACTCAATATGAATATGCAAATAAAACTCATACACCTTGAGAGAAAAAATGTATTTTCAGTATTGGAATGGGGAGAGACTTGAGGCAGGCAGCCCAACCAGCAGGCTATTGCAAAAATAAAGCCATGAGGTGATAAGGGCCTGCACCAGGGTGGTGGCAGTGTCAGAGGAGAGAAGGAGCCATATTGGAGAAATGTTTCAAACTGATAGGCCTTGGTAACAGATGGGATATGGGGGATGAGAGAGACTCCTAAGTTATGGACCTGAATGACTGGGAGGATAGTGTTACTCTCTACAGTAATAGGGAAGTTATGAAGGGAGAGGAGTTTAGGGAGAAAAATAATGAGTTCACTTTTGGACATGTTGAGTTTAAGATGTCTATTAGACATCCAGTTTGGAATATCTGAAAGGCAGTTTGAGAGTGGAGGTTGGACATCAGAGAGGTTAGGACACAATAGATAAATTTGAGAAGTAATTTTGACGGGAAAGGGGAATGGCTTACGAATGCCATGGGGGACATGATGAAGCCATGTTTCTGAATCTGATTCTTATTCTGACTAAAATTGTGCACACAGGCACAGGTAGTGATGTTCGCCATCATGGAGTTTGACCCTTTTTGACAGCAAAACTTCAGCTTTGGTCAGGGCAAGTAAAGGCTGCTTGTCAGAGTGAGTTCACGGATGCTTGCCCAAATCTGTTTTCTGTCCAAAGTTCCAGCCACATGTCATGGTCAAAGGGCCTCTTATCTGTGTGCAGATGCTAAGCAGCAGCCAAAGATCTTTCTGTAGGTGGGGCATTGGTAATCCTGGGCCAATCCTGTAGCTTTATCTGCCCCCAGCTAGCTCTTCACATAAACCCTTCCACCTTTCTATCTCCTTGAAAGTCTAATGACCTAATAGCCCTAGTTCCTGCTGTTGTTTAGCTGAGTCTTCTATTCCCTGTCGCTCTGGTTTTCTCACTGTTGTATATAATCAAATTCACATAGCATGAGAACCTTGAATGTCTTTTGATTTTGCAGTGGCTCCTAGACACTTCCTCTAGCTACTGCCAAAGCCCTTTCAAGGGGGTGGGGATGCTCACCACCGCGGGTACATTGGAGCAGGTGGAAACTGAGGCCAAAGTCTTTGTTACAGGGGTAACAGGGGTAGGGGTTCTCACTCTTGTGAATATGAAAGTACAGGATGAGATTGGAGTTTTGGCTGAAATTGCTCCGTCAGGGCAGGTAGGGCCATTCGACTTTTTATAGCTGCTCTGTTAAGAGGTCAGCGGGGAACTCTGGTGGCCTCGATACATACACTATCCATACTATAGCAGCATGACTTTTCACTACTGTGACTATACTGTTACTGTATCAAACGGGAGCTTTGGTGGAAACCTTTGCCACACTTAGAACAGAGTTAGGGTGTTAAGCCTAGCTCCCAGAAAGGGATTTTCTATGTTAGTGGTTTTTTTTGTTTTACTTTGAGGAGTTTAGAGACAAGCCATAGTTCTTTGGCTCCTGGAGCCTTGGGTAGTTACGAAGTTTTTTCTTTTTTTTTTTTGGCTAGGCAATGGGGTTAAGCGACTTGCCCAGGGTTACACAGCTAGTAAGTGTCAAGTGTTTGGTCTGAGGCCGGATTTGAACTCAGGTCCTCCTGACTCCAGGGCCGGTTCTGTATCCACTGCGCCACCTAGCTGCCCCAAGAAGTTTTTTCAGTGGTAGAGTGTTCTTTTCCCCATCTTCCTCTAGTTGAGTGTCTGGAGCATAGCCCTTATGAGACATTTGTAGCAGTTCCTTATCATATAGTTTCTGAAGCATCTTTCTATGTCACTTTTTCTTCATTTTTGCTCCTAATACTTATAGGGAGTAAAAGACTTTCTTGGAAAAGGATTAAACAGGAATGGGTACCGGCCTTGGTTGTAGTCTCCCCTCCTGGCAGCAGCAGAAAGATCTGGAAAGCAAGA